TTGTTTTGGCCAATATGAATAAATTCTGCTGTTTTCTCTATGAAATGTCGACCCATTGTTTGGGGACATTATTGAACCTTTCTATTTTGTTTGAGGCCTTAAATGTTGAAAGCAGGATTTTGTGTTATAACCTCTGCTTCTTTAATTTTGTTGATTGGGATTTGTTGTTTCAACTTGTTTCAACCTGAATAAGCGTCACTTATTTGCCTCTCAGATAAGGTTCATGATGTTTAAAATTGATAGTTTGTGGTTTAGCTCTTCAATCACTAGAGCTGTAGTGTTCCATGGATATTAGTGTGTTATTTTTTGATTTTTTTAGGCAAGGGTTCATGTTGGAATGAGTTACACGTGAAGCTGGAATTAGAGCTACTGTAAATTGGTTGTAGCGTAGCTATAGATCGTGTTCAGTATTATAATATGATATGGTCACAAGACTAAGAAAATTAGTAACTTTGTAGTTTAATTCAGAATTGATATCAATTTCATTTTCTCATAGTTGTATGTTTAGGTTGAATATGATTTAGCTAATCTCAAATTGTGACAGTTAGCTTTAGTAGTTTGTTTTAAAGTTTGGAATCAAGGTAATTGGCATTTTTCGGGCATCAGGAATGAGATTTGATTACATCTATGCTAATTATGTTATTTGATTGGCTTGGAATGCTAGTAACATGATTAGGCCGTTAATAATCATGAACATCATATCTTTCTTTAGGCGCGATTAACAAATCATCATGACTATGGGTACGGTTCACGTGACATAGTTATGATGCCTAATTCCTAAATTCGGGGGTGCATTTCATGTGACCCGATTATAACAACTTCGAATAATAAAACCCTTTGAAATAATTTGAGGTGTGCCATGCTAAATAAAATCCCTAAGTCCATGGCCCTCATAAAACTAGCTAGCTTTTATAGAAAAATTGAGGTGTGCCATGTTGAATAAAATCCCAAAACCCATGGCCCTCACTTAATTAATTTTTAACTCTTTTAAAATCGAGGTGTGACATCAATTAAATTTTCCATGGCCCTCGCAAACCTGAAAGCGCATAGTTGCTTTAGGCGCGCTATTTAATTTAAATTCCTTAAACTTGGGTGTGCATTTTATGTGACCCAAATCCAAATCTTAACAACGTCAAATAGAATATGTCTCAGACTGTGGGTGCATTTCATGTGGCGCGGTCAAAAGCTATGTTTTGGCTGACATTGAAATCTTCCTAAAAATGAATAAAAGCGGTTATAAAGTTAAAATGCACATAGGTTCAAAATGTTCTAAAATCAGATAATAGGCCAATAATAACAGTTGAGCGACTGTGCTAGAACCACGGAACCCGAGAATGCCTAACACCTTCTCCCGGGTTAACAAAATTTCTTACCCGGATTTCTATGTTCGCGGACTGTAAAATAGAGTCAATCTTTCCTCGATTCGGGATTTGAAATCGGTGACTTGGGACACCATAAATTATTCCAAATGGCGACTCTGAATCTAAAAATAGATAAACCCGTTTCGATTGTCACTTTATTTGGAAAAACTCCCTTACACCCCCTCTCGGGTGTGTGAAAAGGAGGTGTGACGGGTGGCTCGCAGAAGCGAGTCCGCATGAGCAGATTCATGGACCTCAGGAGCGGAGGAAACCGCAGAAGCGGATGTTTGGTCGCTTCTGCGACGCCACAGATGTGGCTAAGTGTCCGCATAAGCGAAAAGGGTGGGCAGAATATTTAAATTCAAGGGTTCACAATTTTTCTTCATTTTGAACATTTCAAGCTTGTGATTGGGCGATTCTTGAGAGTATTTTTGAGGGATTTCTTGAGGTAAGTCCCTTGTGCTCATTTTTAATCAATAATCTTGTTTCCCCATTGATTTTCCCACCTAGATTGTGTGATTTTGAGGTGTAAATTGGGAGTTTGAGGCTAGGGATTTGGAGAGTCTGATTTGGGGATTTGAGTGACGATTTGGTGTCGAATTTTGGTAAATTTGGTATGGTTAGATTCTTGGTTGAATGGGCTTTTGGGTTTTATGATTTTTGTCGGATTTCGAGACGTGGGCCCGGGGAGAGGGGGCAACTTTTGAGTCGACTTTTGGCTTTTGATTGATAACTTAGTTTTTTTATGGAATTAATTCCTTTAGACCGTGTTGATTATATCGAACTGTTTGTGGCTAGATTCGAGGCATTTGGAGGCCGATTCACGAGGCAACGACGTGTTAGAGTAGGGATTTGTGCGACTTGAGGTAAGTAAGAATTCTAAATTTGGCTTTGAGGGTATGAAACCCCGTATTATGTGTCATGTGATTGGTTTTGGAGGTGACGCACCTGCTAGGTGACGATCGTGTGGGCGTGCACCGTAGGAATTGTGACTTGGTCCATTTTATGGAACTGTATAGTTGAAAATTTTGTTGTTATCTGTACATTCACCATGTGTTATAGAAATTGAACTGCAAATTATGTCTAGGCTATGTGTTGGCACTGTAGGGACCCATAGAGGTAGCGTACATGTTGAGTTATCTACTAAATTGTTGTTTTGCACTCAGTCACAGTTTTACTTGCATTTCATATCTCGTTCTCCATTGTTCTTTATTGATACGTTATATCATTTCTGTTTGGGCTGATTTTCATGATCATTGAGAGCCCGAGAGACTAGAGAGGTTGATGACTGAGTGAAGCCGATGGCCTGATTGTGAGGATATTCATGGGATCGGGTTGCACAACGCAACATGATTCATTAATTTATGCCATGAATGGCTTATTATAGTGCTTGGGCTGAAGAAGCCCCTCTGGAATCTGTACACACCCCCAGTGAGCGCATGTACCCGAGTTCCGAGTGACTGAGAGGAAATGGGCGACTGTGAGGAATGAGTGACTGTAAGGTTGGAGTGAATGGAAGGACTGAGTGACTGATGCTCTGAGAAGATGCATTTAATTTTTTTACTGTTTCACTTCAGCTGGCATATATCACTGTCATATAATTTCTAAGAGATATCATATCCTGTTTCAATTGAACTTGATATGAATTAACTATTTTGGCCTTAATTGTCGAACTTGAAAGCATGTCTATCTTCCTATGTTGAAATTACTGTAACTAAACTATAACTGTGAAGTTCGTCACTACTTTCAGTCATTTATTTAGTCTTGTTACTTACTGTATTGGTTGTGGTCACTATACCCTACACTTCGTGTGTAGATCTAGTGTTTCCGGGCACGGTGGGTGTTGATTCCTTTGCACAGTTGATCGTTTGGAGATTCAAAGGTAACTTCTCGGAGTTTCGTAGACCTTGTCTCTCCTTCCTTATCTTTACGCTTTTTGTATTTAGTTTCAGACTATTATAGACAGTACTTCAAGATTTGTGATGTATAGACGCTCATGTACTTAGTAACACCTCGATGCTGGGAATTTTTATATTGGGTGACCTTCTATCTAGTCTTTGAGAGTTTTGGTGATTTAAACTTGTGTTATTTTGTTTTCATTTAAAAGTGTTGGAAGTATTGTTAACGTCTCGACTTGCGTAGTACCACGTTAGGCGCCAACACGACATGCTAGTTTTGGGTCGTGACAAGTTGGTATCAGAGCCTAGGTTACATAAGTCTCACGAGTTATGAGCAGGTTTAGTAGAGTCTAGCGGATCGGTACGTAGACGTCTATACTTATCTTCGAGAGATTGTCGAACCCTTAGGAAACATCACATTTTTGTATTCTTGTCATGCAGATTTGTTGATTCTGGTAACTAAACTTTTGTATTTTATTCTCTCACATATGATAAATATACATGCTACATGTCACGATCCAAGACGATGGGCTACGCGGGTGCCTGAGTCTCACCTGTCAAATACCCCTAAGCATGCGTCTAAGACATGAACCTGAATAACACCTGCTGAATTACGAAAATAACATACATAAAGGAAACCTGCCAACAAGGCATATGTACGTATATATGCAGAATACTGTGGGCAAGCCGGCAAGGCTGCTATAGACAACTATACATCCAAAACTGAAATCGACAAGGCCACATACAACCCAACTAGACATACTGTCTACAGACCTCTAATAGAAGTACAGCTGTACAAAGATAGAACTGAGTCATGTCATACCCATATATATATACACAAGCATGTCGTACCAAAATCAAAAGCAGCTCTGAATCAAGTGGAGGACGCCAACTCTCGCTGATCAAGGATTCTAAGAAGTGGGGATGTTAGCTTTCCTACCTACACCTGCGGGCATGAAACACAGGCCCCGTGAAATAGGGCGTCAGTACGAAAAATGTACTGAGTATGTAAAGCATGAAAATTAGTACGTAAAAGACATAAATGAAACATGGAATAAAGAAACACATCTTTAAATCTGAATAACTTTGTAAATTCTGAAACATTTATAATGTCATGCACATGCGTATAAATGTCGTGCCATGCATAGGTATGGATGTACATAATATCACCAAGCCACTAAGGGCATCCCATCATATCGTCTCAACCACTGTGGACAACGTCATCAACATATGTCAACTGATCAGGTGGTGGTACGTATATAACGTCGTAACCTCTTTTCATATCCCGTATACATATATTTACATATATACGCGTATATAACGCCATCTGGTAATGGGTCGATACACATGTATAAATGGGTGAAATGCATGAAAAATACGTAAAAATGTCAATATTCCTTCTGGATAAACTTTTTCAACTGCGTATTATTCTGAGACCCATGAACACAAGATGATAATAATTCACATAGGGAATCAAGAATATAGACACCCCTAGTATTTCTATGAATAGAGTAATTTGTGAAAACTGTGCATTTGCTCGTTTCTTCAGTATAATTTGGACCATGCCAAAAGAAGGAAGGGATGGCCTTAACATACTTGGAGTAGGGAAAACTCCGTATAATATTCATGGAGAAAATTGCACCATACTCCTTTAGAACCGCAAAAATTTTACATTGTTAGGCTTCTAAAAATCCTCGTTGTTAATAAAGTGTTGAAAATCAGAAATTTGAAAGTTTTGGTAAGATGGCAACGTTCTGTTCTTGATAAACTTCCTAATGTAAGAATTGATAAGAAATGATGTATCTAATACAATTGTAAAAGTTTCCAATGTAAGAATTAATAAGAATTGTAAAAGTTCCTAATACAATTCTGATGGTAAGAATTGCATGGAAAGGATGTGTCCCTTTGTTTGCTAAATGAGTTGCCACCTATCAAAATTACTTAAGAGTCATCTTAAGTTACATGAGGGGGCTGCCACGTTTTGGGGAGGGGGTGTTAGCCTTATCCCATAATTTAATAGTTAACTGGGTAATGTCATGTTACCCGGTAATTAATCAATTACCCGCATAATTTTAAAAATTATCTCAAATTACTTAAAATTCTACTTATTTTTAATATACTTTATACATTATACTATCGTGGTCATATGGTACCTTGCATGGTACTAGTTCATAATTATCGGGTATTATTGCTTAACCCGTATTTTATCCCAAATTGGTCACTTTCAACGAAACTCGTTTTCTTTAATTCGTGTACCATTTCTCCTTTATGACATTTCTTTATCGCTTATTATAAATAGCGTAAATACGTTAACATCAAGATGGTCTCATCCCCGAGTCTACGTCAATTAACTGAAGACGAAACTTTTAACGTACGAAAACGCGAGATGTAACATCCTTTCCACCTTAGAAACATTCGTCCTCGAATGTTTAACTCTCCGTGATCTATATAATCTTGGCAGAGTCGCCCTTGGTAACAAATACTACAACCAACTCTTCCTGTAGAAACTTAATAATTTAACGCCACATAGGACCACGACCATCAATAACGACAGTGGCCTCACATGACCAATGACAATAACTAACACCAGAATCCATACATGTACCTTAAGGTTATGATGTCTCAGTTGGATCCTTCTCTTGAGGAGGAAACAAGTAGGGATATCTAGACTTCATGTCTTCCTCGGCCTCCCAAGTCACTTCTTCCATATTGTTGTTTCTCCAAAGTACTTTCACCGAAGCTACGTCCTTAGTTCTCGATCTCTGAATATGTCCATCTAATATAGCAATAGGAGTTTCTTCATATGATAGCTACCCTGTGACCTGAACACCGTCAACTAACACAATTCTAGAAGGATCTCCGATACATTTACGGGGCATAGACATATGAAAGACTGGATGTACAGACTCCATGTCCGAAGGCAAGTCTAATTCATATACTACCTGGCTTACTGATGTTTTAGGCGTCAATACCACACAAGAGAGGGGAAGGGTGATTTGTGTGGTACCTAATTTTCACTATAGAAGAACTTGGTTCTTCTAGGTGTTCTAACTACTATTGTTTGCGAAATAATTAGTACATAAAATAAAGAATGTTGACACCTAATTTTTGACCCTATTTGAATTTATTCCCACTTTTCCCACTTATCTCGTCAATACCTCACTTTCACTTTCCCTCGCCCCCACACCGGTCTCTCATCCCACTATTTTCATATTCCCATCCCACCTTCTTTTGTCCCCCATTTTTCCTTGTCCCCTTTCACTTTATGCATTTCCAACTCACCCATGTTACACTCCAACAACAAGACAACTTTGACCTCTCCCCCTTTTCCTCATTTCTTAAGTTTCTTCAACAAACACATGGTTATAGGCAGCAAGGGGAGCTCCCCAACTCTCTCCTCGACCCATTTTTTCTCCAAATACACTCACCCTCCCAAAAACGCGGATAGAGTATACCTTCGATATACCGTGGGTATACACGGGCAGAACACCCCCTCCCCAACGGATCTCCTTCTTTCTTTCTTCTCAAACCAGAAAACAATGACTTTTTCACCATCAAGACCAGCCTTGAAGCTCCAGTAATTCAGCCATCAAAAATCCGTTCAAAACATATCAAAATAAGCTTGAAAATAGCTCCGTTTTTTTTAGTCAAAACGATCTCTAAAATAGCAGCAAAAAACCGTTGCAAACAGCCATAAAATCCACCCCTAACACCACCCAAAATGAGCCAAAAGATCTACTGAAATCGGCTAAAAGAAATCGGAATAGATGCGTTTGGATTTTCGTCGCCGGTCGAAGTCGCTAGTCCGGGTTTCCGTTTGAGTCTCCTTCTATTCCGTATGGTTTTGCTTGGCTTTATTTCGTTTTGGAGTAACGATTGTTGAGCTGTATCCATTTCATAAAGAAGGTTGTCTTCTCAGTCTATTGATAAAATATTCATATCAAAGGTTCATTTCCTCTAAATTCTTGTTTGCATTAGATGAATGTTTCAGTTTTGATTTAGATCTGTTTAAATGTTTCATTATTATTTCTTTTGTTTCTGTTTTGATTTATGTGTGTTTGATTAGAATTAGTTTCTCAAGTCACTAAATAATTAGCTTCTCACCTATGTTGTTAGATTAATATGATTTGAGAAATCCATGTTAGACTTGAACGTAAATAAGTCATTATTTTAAAGGAAGTTCTTTTTTTTAAAAAAAAATAATTTTTATGTTAGCATTTTATTTCTTAGTTGATGTTATGTTTCTAGTGTTCAATTATTTTAATTTCTTGTTTCATGAAACAATATATGGCTTTAAGTTCAAAATTATTATAGTTATCTAATAAAAACTAAAAAATGGAGCCTTACGCTAAAGAAACTATGGTATATTAGAGCCATTGGATCTTTTAAATTTAAAGTGAGATGAATGAGATTTTGGGCTTTTAGATTTAATAAGTCATAGCAAGGATTATGATCCGGGCTCAAATACAAACTGGGTAAAGAATAAAAATCTACACTACATCACTTTTACCACAATAATTTCATAACTCTCGGCTTTGCAATAATCTCAAAGTAGTTTAGAAAAAATAATTGTATATTCGTAGTTTGCTTTAGGCGCGATTAATAAATTATCGTGGCTATGGGAACGGTTCCCGTGGCATAGTTGCGATACCAAATCTCCTAAATTTGGGTGTGCATTTATGTGACCCAAATCCAAATCCAAATCCAACGGAGTAGGAATGTATTAACAACCACGGGTGCATTGATTGCGACGTGGTTCGAGATATATTTTCACGACGTTGCAATTCTATTAAAAAATAATAATAAAAGCGGTTTAAAGTTGATAAAATCACATAAATTATAATATGTATTAAAATCAGATATTTAGCCATTACAACAATTTAAGCGACCGTGCTAGAACCACGGGATTCGGGGGTGCCTAACACCTTCCCTCGGGTCAACAGAACTCCTTACTTAGAATTTATGGTTCGCAGACTTCATTTGGAAAGTCGAATATTTTCCTCGAATTGGGATTCAAGATAAATCGGTGACTTGGGACACCAAAGCCAAACTTTTCCCAAGTGGCGACTCTGAATTAAATAAATAATTCCATTTTGAATATTGTCACTTAAATTG